GGGGGGGGGGGGCGCGGGGAGAGAGAGAGAGAGAGAGAGAGAGAGAGAGAGAGAGAGAGAGAGAGAGAGAGAGAGAGAGACCGGAAAGAAATGGAAGGAAAGAGCTCGCCGTCGAGTGGTGCGACAAGGAGGGATTGAGAACGGGGTTGAAAGTGGGGGGAAAGCCGTGGAGAATCAGCGCACAGCTACACCCCACCGTGACGGCCGCGGCAGTCAGTCGTCCGCGCATCCTCGTTCGGTGAGGGTTTCGTGTTCGGTGGTGAATCGTTGGAGAGCTTCCCGTACCGAGTGGTGGAATCATCAGATTGTCATTCATCGATCAGCTGATCTCTGACTAGTGGTGCGCCGACCTGTGGCCGTCGACCGCATCGACGACGACCTTCGACCTTCTCCTCCTCCACGAAGCTCTGCCGATCGGTGAGTCGAACCATCATGTTTTTTTCGCCTCTTTGCGAGCGTTCGATATTTTCTGCGTCACGACTTTTTCCAATGTCACGAGTAACGAGACACTCACGGGGAGAGAAGCGTGAAGCGCACGGACGCGTCACGAGAGTTAGAGTTTAGAGTTAGGCGAACTTGAGATTGAATAGGATTAGCGTTTTACACGTCGTGTTTCACTTTGGAGTTGAAGAGAATCGTCGTGCGAGCTTCGCCCGAGAGTGTAGAACGAAGGGTTAGAAGTAGGAGGGGGGAGGGGGTGGCTAGGTTGGCTGAAAGTTAGCGGCAACATGTTTGTCTGTTGGTTGGAACACGGAGCACGAGCTTCACCGTCGTTTTCTCTTCTTTCCCTCGTTTTTCATCGGCGTGCGAGAGAAGCAATCGATACCCGATTCTCGAGATGTAACCAAGGACGCGCCGTGGCTTATCCGCAGCGACACGCTAAAAATGAATGGATTGCGTGTCATAGATTTTATTTAACTTCCCTTCCTGCGATACTTACCGTTTTTCTCGTAAATAACGATGAAACGTTGACAAAGTATCCGAAGGATTTCTCTACCGAAGGATATATTCGTTCGTACATAATCGAACGTGTGTATTTCCAAAGTACGTACGTCTACCGTTTCGAGGATATGTTTCCAAAAAATTCTCGGAAATTCGCCACGAGAGAATATTATTTACACGCTGTAACAACAACGTAGAACAGTATTTATCCGTCCGATGAGAACGAACGATATTTACTGGCGCGTTATCAGAAATGTATACAAGTTCAAGGATTTCCTAGAAGAGGATTTCCTAGTAATTTCGCAGCGACTCGTTTGTTTTGCTCGCGTAATCATACAGCGCGAGGTTACGCTGGCCTCTTTCCTCGTTTCTATCAGTGCGCACAACGTGATCAATACTCAATTTCTACGCGTAATCCATTCATTAAATTACACACACGTATAGAATTGAATGGCCTGATTCTCTCGCTCGCGTTACGAAGAGCATTCGTTATTCTTTCTCGCTCGTTGCGCGCAGAATTAGAATCCTTGTTCTCGGTAATAACTCAACTATTTCGCGGCAATAAGGGGCAATGCGTTACATTACCGCCGTAGCGTTATCGCAACAGTCTTCTAAAACGTCTCTCCACCTTGTTTGCAATCCCTTTTATGACGCGAACCACAGTATAATTCCCCCGTATCGTGTCACACTGCTGAGCTCTTTACAGTCTCCGCAGAATTGCACCGCCGTCTCTTTCGCAGTGGCGAAACCATGCTTTTGCCTCTGTGCTCGCGAAACACACGCGGCACGGGAATATTCGGCGAAACTGATGCGCGAAATTTCGGTCGGCATCGAGCCGTAAAAGTCATTGTAATTTCTACAAGTTGGCCACCACGTGCAACCTAGACTAACGAACGATTCCTGGCTGGGTCAAACTTAACAGTGAAACTCGGTTCCTCGCGCTTGGAACCGCGAGACCGATCCCCTAATTATTATTTCAAATAGAAACCTCCACTTTGTCTTTCGCTGTAATATCCTCGAGTTTAATTATGTTTCATTTTTGTCTCGCTGCTCGACCATTGCAACATTTACCGCAGAAGATTTTTATATGTGTGTTTAGAACCATGACGAGATATGATTATAGATTTTACGATCAATCTGAAAGTGTATGTAAAAGTTATTAATATACAGCATGGTCAAGTTAGTCGTACAATAACGTATTAAAGATCATCTTGCCGAGTAGTGTTAATGGATTGCGAATTTTCACGCATCTAAAAAAGACGAAAAGACATTGAAAAAACGTATGAAATATCCAAGATCGAGTTAAAATCGAATTTCGATTTAAAAATTGAAGCAGTTGAAATATGCGTTTAAATATTCTCACGACCGGTGCAATATATCATTAGTGTCAAATATTTCGCAATTTCTGTATGTTCCAGATGTTTCTGGATTTATTTTTATTTCCAGATGTTTCAGAATTTATCAATGTAATTTCGATGGTTGAAATTAAAATTTCCAAAATACGGGTATATTACATATTTATGTAAAACGCGTCTGGAAGCGCTTGAAATATTTTCGTCGGCTACTGTGCTCGAATAAACAAACGTTCCCAGGTTTATTAATTGTGTCTGTCTAATTTTCGAAACGCGGGGTCGACGATGCCACCTGCCCCGAACTCGTACAAATTTGCGGCCGTATTAGTTTCAGGTTGTATGGCTCGTTTATAATCGAACGTACATATATGTGCAATGCTGGATAACGGAGAACAGTGGCGGCGTCATTTTGACCGACGGTGTTCATCCACTCGAAACTAACGGTTTATCCATGTTAATTTTCCCGTTGCCAATAATCGTTTCACCATGAGCATATTTGCCATTCATTGTGAAATGGTGGATTGTAATCAACAACCATTGCTCCAGGATGTACATATATATATATATATATATATATATATATATATATATATATATATATAGATTTATATTCACTCGATCGACGATCCTTCGTCGTTCCTATCGATCCTCGAAATTTGGTTCGTCCGCAAAAATGTGTATTCCAGTCGTGCAACACCACCCATTCCTTTCTTGACGGACAGTTTCTTTCTCTCTGGTTTTTTTTTTTTTTTTTAATTGTTTGACGCGGAAGCATACTAGAGACGGTGACAAAAGATGGTGGGTCTTATCGGGAGTGTAAAAATTTCTGCGAGGATGATTTATTCTTAAGGGTTGAAACACTGTACCCTCAGGTCGTAAATGTGTCTGGGAATAAAGAAGTCACATTATTATTTTCATGTAAACGAGAATCACAGAGCACGAAAATTGAGTTTTCTCCCCTTTAACGAATCGTTCGCATCGTTCCCGAAGCCGGTGGTTCGTCATCTTTTCTTCGAAATGAAAAATGAAACGAGAGAGTAAATAATTATCCCGAATAAATTCCAATATTCCATCTGATAGGTGAATTATTTTCAAACGATCGTTTCAAATAAGAAATAATAGCTTTTCGTTATCGGAATGGAATGGTTCCGTCGTGTCACGATAGAAAGGAAATTATTCTCCGATAAATTGTTACTCGAATAACATCGTAAAATGTGTATTGAAATAAAAGTTTGTCTCGATAGCGCGCGGTCCCGTTTCAAAGATACTTCCGTTTGAAAATTTGGCAACATGGCTCAAAATTATCTTCTCCACGATTCAAATTCACGGTCGATCGTTCCCTTTGATTTTCACATTGGAATTTGATCGTCGATTCGTGCCACGTGATTGTCGCAAGAACGTTAGCAATCTCTGGTTAAATATCGTCGTCCCCCCTTTTTTTTTTATGGTCAAGCTTGTAAGTGACTCGTAGAAAAAGTTTCCCGCTTTTTACGTAACTCGGGCCCACCAACTTCTCCCTTCCGAAAACGTGTACGAAGGATCTAATGAACGGTTCGTACGAGGGTCGAATCGAAAAGTGGAGTTCAGCTTGGTTGTCGCCCGGTGGAAATTGTTCTTGAGTTATACCGCGTTCAACTATCTTACGGTCTACGGGATCTATGTACCTTGAACTTTTCGAAGTTTGCGCCCGACATAGGAAGCGTGACGTGGTGAACAAGAAGTGGTGATCAATCGGTATTAAGGTCGGGGCTGTTTGACGAAGGAGGGCTGTAAATGAACATGTCTGAACCGAAATAGCGATAGATTTCAAGGAGGCTGGATGAATGCAACGACGTAAATGGCAGACCCTTGGAATGAAATGGCGTGTAGCCTAAGAGAACGAGCTCACCTCTGGCAAAAAAGTTGGCCTCACTTTCCCAATCGTATCTCTAGTAAATTGTGTGATCATCTTGTTATTAATTCCACTTAGCACCTTTCACTTGGACTACAATTTCTCTTTTTATCGTAGTCATTTTCAAGATGGTAGATATTTAAGCTGACTTTTGCTGTATTCATTTTCGTTGCTTATCTAGCACGTAATCTTAAATTTCTAGAGGAAAGTAAATCCTGCAAAGAGAATATTATTTAATTAATTCGATACTTTTATTAAATCATCATCGACGATAGGACACGCGATGCTCAACGTAGTAACTTCCTGTTTGATTAGTCGAAGATCGATGGTCAAGTTGCGAATAAATGTTACCATGTTTTATTCAACAAAGATACTTTGTTATTGCATATTTGAATTTTAATGAACAGACGCGCGTGGTTCTCCATGCATGCTCTTATTACAACAGGAAAGCAAGAGCTTCTGCATTGAAAATGAATACACTTTCCGGAGCGAGCATGATACTGCGCGTAATTTTTCTCTTATTGCGGAGAAATTGAATTTTTTAAACATCCAGTGTATATAACGTTACGGAGTAACTGACCACGATTCCCTTCCCTCTCTTTTTCCCTCTTCCTCTTTTGTTCTTCCTTTCCAGTTTTTATCGTTGCATCGTGCTTTTTTTTACAGATGAATATTTCAAACAAATATTCCTATTACAGTTCGGATAATTATCGCGACGCGAGTATTAATGACAAAGAGATTTAAAATTTAAAGGTACGCGTGGTTTTTATTGCACGACGTGTGTCACGATCCTGGATAATTTTTTTTTTTTTTTTGACATTTCCAACATTTCTGCGTAATGGGAACGGACGGGAAAGGTATCTCCGTGTTTATACGTGGAGAGAGAATCGTGGAAACATCTTTGCATTCAAGATAAGAGATCTTGCATAATTCCTAAAGAGAAATTTCAAACGCTTCTTTGTTATCTCTTTTTTCTTTTCTCCATTTGAGGAGAGCACTGCGATAATAGTTGCGTTGTTCGTCACTTTTCGAACACGGTTAGACAGTCTCGTAGATAATTTCAATTCGAGGCCCATTTAGAAAGCTTTCGACTGTGATTTTCCTACCGTTTAACGCGCCATTCTTTTTCATCCTTTTGTCTCCGCGTTTCTCGCGTAACTGCTAGCTTATAACTGCTGGTTATTAATATCATCGGTGGAAGCCATTACTCGAGAATCAGCGATGATAAATTC